TAGGGAGGGGGAGGACCTCGGACCACCCCACGAGGCCCRTGCTGGTGGACCATCATGTCCTGCAGGGAACACTGCTGCACAACCACCTGCTCTTGCTTCCTTCTCTTCTCCTCGTARAACTCCTGCTGCAGCTTGAGCCAGGCCACCTGCTCAGGAGTCATATGGTCCAGGTGGTCTGGGCCTATGGCTCCTGACTGGGAGTTCATTGGTGGTGGCCCCATTTCATCTGGGGAAAAAGGCATGTCCCTGTGTCCTTGAGGGCCAAACGGAGCCCCTCCATCTGTCCGAGACCCCGACCCTTTGCCTAAACTTTGGGATTGAGCCATCATAGCCTGTATCGGCCCTTCAGGTTTCTTTTGGGGACCATCCAGCACCCCAGCATTTGGGGGTGGCCCCCCACTTTGCCCTCCYGCAAACTCCTTCTCATCAGGGAAGAGCATGCGCTGGATGTCTCTCAGCGTCTGCAACGAGCGCTCTCGATGCTCCAGCTGCTCCTGTGACAGTCCGTCAGGGTTCTCACTCAAACTGGATGGGTCCCCTCCAGACACCTGCTGGGGAGGACCTTTGGGATCTGSAGCTGAGCTATTGCTACCTTGAGAAACCGGGCTAACTGCTCGATTATTGGGGGTTGAACTCTGCCCAAATCCTTCTGTCTGCAAGGGGGTAGAGTTGGCAGGGCTGCCCACAGACATCACTTTGCTTTCCACGCTGGGACTGTCCTGATCTATGGGACACGGGGGGCCAGTGGGTTTGGATACTGGCGCTGACACAGGTGGAGTCGGCTGCATTTTGGCGTTCTGGGGTGGGTTCTGGTCCTGGGCAGCGGGGGGCTGGGGCTGCGGCAGGGGCTTGGGTTCAGTCCGAAGTGCAGTGATCTGGGGGTTCTGCAAGAAAAAGCCACACTCAGTCACTTGCTCTTCTTACAGCCATGTCATATAAGCAGTGGTGCAAAGAAAATGCTCAGTCTCAACCCCACCAGCCCAAAATTTGCAGGGAAGGGTAGGCTTCATGCAGCAACTACAGAGCAGCCTCTTGGCCATGTAGAAACGTACATGGCTTAAGACATAAGCTTAAGACATAAGCTTAAGACATAAACGTGTGCTTAAGACATTACTGCAGGGACTCCTTTCTTCTGTGCATGGGCAATGGGTTGGACATACTGCAAGACTTAGTCTTCTTTGGATGACCCAAGATAGTTATTCGCAAACGGTCAGAACAACAACTGTCTGTCCTCCTAAAACTTATTTCAYAGTGTATATAATCACCCATCTCTGAATCACACAGAGGCACATTTACCATTTCCCCTTCCCACCCCCATGCAGATATTCCCTACCAAGGGTACAGTGTTTCGTTCCGCCTTGCTGTTTGAGATGTTCTGGATATGAAAGGACACAATGGTTTCCACCTGTCCCTTCAGCACAGCTTCTGCAGCCCTGCAAAGACAGACAGGCAGATKCACATATCCATTTGAAGCCAAGAATCTATTTTTCTTAACTGGCCTCCCTTCTACCTTTCAGGTGGCAAAAGGGAGAAAGACTTAACCACACATACTTCACTCTAGATGAGTAGCAAAAGAAAAATGCTTACATCTACAAAGACACCAGCATTTAGGGTTCCGGTCTCACAGCCATCCTGGCTGCTATTCACTGCATGGATTGCAAAACAATATCTACCAGMATTTGCAAAAAAAAAAAAAAATCCCCACACCTCAGAGAAGTAAACAATTACTTCTCAGAGGAAAAAAGGTAGGGATATTCTCCACTCCAGCCCCTTCAGCATCCCCAAAACAAGTAATGACTTTTCACTACTTGATGCAGAAAGTGCCCTTGACAATCTCTTTAAAGATGAGGACAAACTCCTGCTCCCAGAAGACATTCAAGCATCTACCTACTTACTTGTTGGCCATCTCAGTAGAAAAGACATAAACCACTTTGGATGGTGTCTTCTGCCCGCTTGCTGGCTCCAAAGTGGCAGTCAGACCATGGGAAGGTGTGGAAGACCTTGGGGCTGAAGCATTTGAAGGAGTCATGGAGTGTGGTGTGTGCTGAGACTCCTGGGACTTCACATGATCAGCAGAATTGCAGTCTGGAAAGGGACAAAGGAGAAAAGAAGGGAATCACTATCTTGGGAGCTCTTTGGAAAAAAAAWTCTGGAAACTGATCAGAGCTTTTCCTGCTCTGGAATTTCCTGCTTCTTCCTCAAGCAACACTGAAGACAAATTCTTCTACTACACCACACATCTTTCCTCTAAAACCATGGTGCCCTTCAAGCAACACTGGGAAAAAGCTCGTCTTGTCTCTTTCCAAGGAAAGTGGCAGTTCCCAGAACTGATCTCTTTGAATTCTCTAATGACCACATAGCCACACAGAAAAGCAGGAAAACTAGACTTTAATGTAGGAACAAAGATAAATATGTCTGCCTCAAGAAAATGCTCCTGCAAATCTTTCCTTTTTTTTTTTTGTTTTTGCTCCACCACCTTATCTAGGTGACCTAGCACATGAACAACAAAGATGGACAGCTGAACAGGTAGTCTGTGGTTTTGCACACCTGCATGGAGGCAATATTGGAGGCAGGAACAGAACACAGAAATCCCAACTCTCTGGCTTGCCTTACCAGTCAGGGTGCTACGGGTTATGTATCTGTGTTGACAAAACAGACTTGCATATTGTTTAAAACCCCAGTTACAATGGAACAGTTCCTGAAAGGCCAAAGGCCAAGAGACCAATAGGTTGCATTKGTACTTTTAAATACTCTGGGGGAGTTTAAGAGTTACAAAGGAACTTTCCCACCAGAGTCAGGTCTGGGCTCTAACCAAGCGTGAACAAGACATTTACCAATGCCAGCTATGACAACCTCTCCTCTTTGCCTGCTTTCAAGACCTTTAGACTTCATTGGCTGGAACTTACAGAACCCCAGACAAACAAATGTTTCACTAACACTTGCATAGCAATTCTCAAGCTCACAGAGGGTTCAGACTGATTGTCTGCACTTGCACATGAATCCTAGCAAACATACCTTTGATTTCCGGGTCATCATTAGGAGTCCCAGCTTCCCTCTGTTCAAAGGAATCTGCCGAAATGCTCCTCTCTCTCTTCCCCTTCCCCTTGGCACCATTTCCAGCCCCATTCTTCAGCCCCATACTCCCACCCGGGCCAGGGAGCACTTTGGGAGTGTGACCTCCACTTTTGGGGTCACAGGGAGAGGGCTGGGATTGGCTGGTGGAGCCCCCTTGTTTGCCTTGGTTGGAAAATTTGGAATCCAGCTGAGGGTTGCCAGACGGGGACATCACTGTAGGGGGGCGGACCATCACCTCCTGCTTTGATTTGGGGCTACTGGGAAAAAAAAAAAAAAAAAAGAAAAGGAAAAAATGACAAATCACACAACTGGTTCATTCAGCCCTGTAGGAATGGATTAGAGCGAAGCAGAAACAACCACTGTCACCTTTGCAAGCTAAGACAATTGCTGACAAATAAAAAAATGCCTGCAAGCTTAGAGTCATGTAGGTGCTTTTTTGAACATGCCCCAAAAGGGTTATTATCCAAGATGGGATCTCATTGCTCAAGAAGGCACCAGGGCAAACCACAGACCCGCCAGATCCCAGAAACTGCTGTCACAAGAGGACCCACCTCTGGCGCTTCTGTCAATAAAGACAGCGGTTTCTATGTGCACAGAGAAGCACCTCACACCAAGACAAGCTCAGAGTAAACAAACARGGCACAATAAAGTTCACTTCACCATTCTCCTGGACCCCAACTATGCTGCAGCTCTGAYGAGAGCGGATCCCCCCCACACCTCCTCCCTTGTACCTCCCTATCCAGTTCTACAGGGAGCACAAGGAAAACCCAGCATTACTGCAGCATTCGTCATACATTGGGGCGAGCTGCCAGAGAAACACAAACCTCTGACCGTGAAAACAATTAAACCAGCTACAACCTGCCCCTGAATAAGGAAAGAGAAGGATACCATTTCCAAGCACACTCCTGCAAAATGGGGCAGATGAAGCTTCCTCAATATGCCAAAGGAGACTCATTGTCTTTCATTCCTCTTCCATCCAGCAAATTTTATCCCAGAAATATTTTGCTCCTCTGGGTTCTACAGATGTTAGGCACCCCTTCCCTCCTCACCCTCCACTTACTCTTACTAATTGCTATCAGACTTTCTGCATTGTGTTTTCCCATCATCTCTATCACTTTCAACAGGCAGTGTTTGCTAGCATCCTCATTGTGGGACTCACACAAGCTGCTCCCTCCTCTCGACAGACATCTGACTCAGAAGCATTCCCTCTGAAATACTGCTAAGCTCTAGATGACCTCTAGGAGTAAATAATCAAACTCAAGAATGCTGTCAGTCAGAATCATCCTAAATACCTGGACACTGCTCTGCTTCCATATTCTTCCCCTTCCAAATTGGTGGAGAAGAATTGCTGACCTGCTGCACTGGTAATGCAGAGGATCTCAGTGCTCAGCTGATCAGTTCTCCAGGCTGTTCAAACCAATAATATGGAGAAAGCAGTTTGTGTGGAAGTACAGAAAGATCTTCRGCTGCCCAACTACCCCTTGGGAAATAAATAATCAGAAGAGGAGAAAGGGGAAAAAAATAAGATACAGCATGTTTACTCTCCTACAGCCTATCTAGGCAGCTGGTGGAAGAGAAGAGGGCACAAGAAATGGAGAATCCACACCTTGTGGGTTTACAGCCTTCAGCTCACCCTGAGCCTTGCAAACATAGGGACAATCAGCACTGTGCAGCCACCGCTCAGGCACTCAGCRGGTCTGATGGCAGCACAGAGAGGGACCAGGAAGTCACACGGCACCAGTCCTTGGGCTARTCCAGCAGCAGAGCAGGGATGGCAACATGCACCAACCCAGAGTAGCTGATTGCAGGCTCTTCTCCTTACCTCTGTGTGTTGCCTGACGGGGAGTTCCTCACTTTGGGGTTACTGGAATGCATTGACAGAAATCCTGAGCTCACAGTCTCACACACACGCAGATGGGCTCTCGTCAAGTTCCTCTGGGGAACGTGCTGCCAGAGGCAGCGTCGAAGCACTTCCTACCACCCTCTTCTCTCAGTGCTGGCTGCCTGCTTGCCTTTTTTCTCTTTGCTCCTCGCTGCTTTTGCACTGGGCACTTCCCTCCTGCAGCTCCAGCATTCTCTAGATGCGTGCCTCCTGCTGCCCAAGGGAAGTCTCGCATCTCCAGGGCACACTGCAAACCAYCCCACAAAGAGAGAACAGAAAAACAGTGAGGAACTTCCCAAGCAAACATCTCTGGTGTGAAGAAATACACAGCAATTCTTCTCCCATTCCCAAGGAGATAAGGAGAAGGGCTTTCAGACAGATGTGTAGTTCAGACCAGAGGCAGCCCTGGTTCAGTTTACAGGCAGTGATGCCATCCTCCCTTTGTCCAAAGCAAATAATTCAGGAGTCAATAAAACAGGAAAGCACTTTGTATCTGAACACTTTGATTACACATCCRTGCTCAACTTAAAGACACCTCACAGCAAGTCAGTAGGAAGCCAAAATTACAAATCCCCAATATGACTTAGCTATCCAGAATTCCCCTGTGAATGGCTGTAATGTGGTATTTCTTAAGAACATAAACTCTGCTTAAATCTTTTGTCTCCTTGGTCCAATATACCTAGACATATGTTCAGTGATGTGTGCTAAGAGTTACACAAAGGGAGAAAAATAAAATAAAAATCCCTTCCTGACCACCTTAGCTACTAGCTAAGTGATTACTCTGAAAACACCAAGGGTTAGTCACTCATCGTATCTATTAGAAAGGCCAGAAAAACACTGGAGTAGTACCTGTCGAAATTTGCTCAGCAACACTCTGCAGACCGTAAAGGCTTGAAAAAAATAAAAGGCCACAAAAAAAGCAGAACTTTTTCAGCTTCTTTCTAAGAAACAATATGCATGACGCAGGCAATAAGGCACATAAAGCTGTTTCTGGAGGTGGAAACTATTGAACATTACTGTTTACGTGCTTTGGGCTAAATTATTTTGGAACAAATTTCTGTCTTGTTTATGTTTCAACAAAATCTCTCCTGTTCATCTCACCTACTCAGATGCAAATCTACTTAATTTAGAATCTAACCAAGATTTATTGTTAATGTATTAAGCATTGCTAGTTAAATATTATTCAAATGTAAATATTCCTGATATTCCTTCTCAGCACCAAAGAAGTAGTTTCTTCCTATGTATACCAAATGAAACAAAATTMATCTTACTAGAATGGGAATGTCTTGAATTTTAGGAAGAAACTATGGTTCAAACTGCACTTCAAAACAAAAAATTTTGCTTGTTTATGTGCTGCCACCAGAGGATGAAGAAACACAGGTACTCTGTGACTACCTCTGGCCAAGGAGAGTTATCAGCAACTTGTAGTACTGAGCACCACGATTTGCCAATTCCCCAAATTTGTATAGTTGTGAGATTGTGTTTTTACACATTTTAGTCAATCTACCTGAACATGATGCAGTTGCATGAAGCTCTGCATCATCTCCAAAAATTCTCCTCTCTACCACATGCCTCCTTGAGCCAGAGAAGTCATCCTACTCCSTATTCTCACCACCACTGTGCTACACAAACCTATTAACGTGGGGAATGTTTCAGCAACAAATGTCTCATTTTAAAAGCCTCTTACCAGACATAATCAGATGAACTCTAGTCTGAACCAYACACTCTAGAGGACCCACACGCCTCTCTGGGGGTATTAGCTGGTTATCCCAATGATTTTGGGAACAATGTTGGAGCTAGCCTATCAGTATTGTTACCACTATCACGTTGCAATTGGAGCTGGTGCTATACAGATACATTAAAGAGGAGACAGAACCTCTTCACTCATATCTAAAGTGTATCATCTTTGCATGCAAATTTGGCTCTTATGTCTGTTTTGTTCAACAAAACTGTAACATTACCAACAACACCCAACTCTGCTCTTCAAGAGATTAATACATCTGTAAAAGTCAGTGGAACTCTGAAACTTCAGCATCCTCACTTAAGGTGAAGGTGTGACTGAAAACACAGTAAATTCCAGGTTAAAAAAAAAAAAAAAAAA